AACAAATTTCGAACAGGTCGCCAGCTTAGGGCACGACCACGGCTTTCCCCGACACAAATGCTTCCATTTACAGAGTAAACATGTCAGGGCTACCAGTAATAGCATGTCAAGTAAGAGCCTCGTCCCGACTGTGAATATTAGCCACGCACGATGTCGCCAGCCCTCCCTACAGCTCTCCGACAGCAGATGCACAGATCTACCAACAAGTCGTCGTAGCAGCAGCAGCAGTTGGGAAAAAAATCCACCAAACCTCAGATCGTTCAGATCAACATAACAGGTACGCAAGAAATAGTACAGATTGTACAAACGAAACCTGCAGTTTGTGGCTGGATCTGCTCTTTAACAACATTACTCTAATAAGCGAGGACCTAACCGGCTGACGGCCGGCAGATTAGACGCCGTACGAGAGGAGAGGAGAGGTCCGGAATCGAGGCTCGGTTCTTCGCGAAGGACAGCGATCGCCTCACCGTACCACTAAAGGCAGGCAGGCGTCGATGGTCCTACCCTCACCTCCGCCGAGTAAGGTCCGACTGAAGCAAATACAAGCGTTCCAGTCCAACCTGGACCGACAAAAGCCAATTGTATTAATTGTTGCTTATTAGGTGAAGGTTTGATCTGGACAGATTGAATGCCATAGGAATCGATTTGATGCTATTGGAGTTTAGCTCTATTTTCCGTTGTGATGCTATTGGTACCCCCTCGCCCCACGTTCGGTTTCATCCATGGCACGCTCGGACGGGGGAGGGACTGCTATCCGTTTGGTTCACTTGGTGGCCCGGTCTCCGAGCTAGAGACGGGAAGGCCTTGATAGAATAGGGGGCCCGGAAACGAGGTCCTCCGCCGATAGGCGGGTGTTGACCGCGGCAGAATCGGGCGGAAGGATGTAGTCTTCACGATCTTCTTCAGACAGAGCATGCCACAAATGCTGAAGATATTCCCTCTCGCGTTCCGGCAGTTCCTCCTGGATTGAGCTGAAGGTGTTGCGCTCGGAAGTCATCGACGTGCTTTTGTGGAAGAAGCACATGGCTTCTTCCTTGGACTCCGACGCTTGTGTCCCCAGTCAGCGGTGGCAGTCCCGTATCCAAGATTCCCAAGTGATGATTTCGCCCCACAGAACCCAAAGTCTCGAGAAAGTCTATGATGATATTATTCATCATTAATTTCTAAAAATTGGCAAGGTTTGTAGAGATAAGAATATACCGTGCTTGTGAGAAACCATACTATAATAGCAGATTGGACGTACTGTACGTACATAAACTTAATGCACATGACAGTTTTAAAACCTCGCACCGAAGTCTAAGATTTGTATTGCGAGAAGACTTCGGTCCAGACGTTTAGGTGATATCTAAGTTGGTTCTTTGCAGGGAAAGCAACTGTTGACAAATAGAAAAGTATGGTCCAATCGGAAACCATATTCTTATATAAATGTATCGTTGGGTTTCTTTTATTCATCAAGGCTGCCTGAGGCTTTCTAGAAAGCTCGGCAGTTTGATTCCTTGCTTCGTGAAGCATGCAGGAGGAACCAAGAAGAGCATGTACGAATTTCATAAATTACCGAGTCAAATTCAGATGTTTGGACCTACCGAACCTCGCACAGCCAATGGAAAATAAACCAAGTGCTTGATTTAGATTAGTTCGCCCTCAATGTCAAACTATTGACCTGAAGAAACGATTGAGAAAAAATAAGAATCAGATTATTTTTTTTACGGTCGTCGAAATTCAGTGTTAAGGCATTCGTCAAGAGAGAAAAGACCCCGGCCCTGCTGCCCCTTTCCAGACGAACTGGAGCTCAGTCCGATTTGTGTGTTGCTTGAAGTGTTTGCCATGCCTACCTTGATTAGGAGTCTCAAACATGGCCTTTAGTCTCTATTTCCCAGTGTAAAAACCATAGCTCTCCGATTTTCGGATCATATTCATCCTGTACCATCATACCCTTTTGATTAGATTTCTGTATAGCTAGAGTATACTTAACTGCACCAAATTACTTCCTGTACACTTGTTTCATGCGAGGTGTAGAAATGCTAACCAACTCAAAGAAGACATATCACTTTATAAAGCGACGTAAAGCACGGGAAGACTTTAATAGCGTAATAATATATGGGAGATGTAAGAGCAAACTCGTATTGAAAACAGGGAGATGTAAGAGCATAGGATTGTCACCAAGATGATATATTTTCAAAGCAAAGAAGTCTCCAAGGAAACTAAATTATGACCTACCTAACTCCAGGAAGAGAACAAAGATCCATTCCAGCTTTGATAAATCAACTGCAATCTCGATCTCAATCACAAGATTCAAGTTGGCTATAACCTCATTAAGTTTGATGGACATAGTCAAGTTGATTCGTTCATATATATGATTAGAACTGCTCTTCAATAGACCTCATCATTGCCCTTTGTTTATAGGATTTGGATGTTAGTATCCAGTATTGCAGTTGTAAGCGATGATTGGCGTATAGAGACAACTTGAGGGCCTGAGTATAAGCAGAGGTCAAAGACTGCACTTCTATTTGTATTTCTTAGCCGGGTGAGGATTTGGATTCAGTTATGAAAGTAAATGCGGATTCTCTCTCCACGTCTAATTTGATATTTTCTTTTTGTGATATCTTTCGATCTCACATATATAATTCTTCTTCTTATTATTATTCGTAGGCAACATACGTTTAAACAAGATTTCTCAAATCATTTTGGATAGAATTTAATGATTAGAGTTTTCAATATTTTTTGTAAAGAAAGCGAAAAATGCATATACTTCAAATTTAGCGGATCTCGCCCAAATTCTTCACTGAAGTTCAGTATATACAATTAGAAGGGATGCCAGCCACTCCTTGCGGTAGCTGAATTATAGTAATATACAAGAAAGGATGGGAAGAATCAATGAATGTTGCATCAATCAAACCAAAATGTTAGGATAGTAAGTATACCTAATAACATCATGTTTGATATAACCTCAGGTCTTGTTATTTATAATATATTAAAAATACTCAGGTAGGTGTTACTCTAGTTAATAAGACTAAGGTTATTTATAATATATTAAAAATACGCAGGTAGGTGTTACTCTAGTTAATAAGACTAAGGTTAATCTATCACTACATAAGTTAATTTATCATAGCTCTTTGCAATACAAACTTAGGATCTATAATTACAGCTTGTGTCTTTGTGAATATATCCTGACATAAGTAAACCATGTATTTTCTATATTGGCAATCTTTGTTTGCATTTTTGTTCGTATATATAATTTATAATTTATATATTATCATCACATTGTAATCAAATAATCAACATATTAAAATAAAGTTTTAGTACTTCTATCTCATAGATTTTGGATTGTATCAAATAATGTTAAATGTAATTTTTATAATTATATATTACCTAAAAATTGTTTAAAAAAAATTCAAATTCAAACGTAATAATATGGCTTAATCTTCTACAAAGATATCAAAGTAAATGTATATAGCTTCATATACCTTTAAATCTACAACCCAATAATGTGATAAAAATTAAAATTACTGGATGAAACAAGCCAGTATCTAATCTAATCTAATCTATTCTTTGGTTGAAAGGTATCTGGTGTGCGGAGCTATTTGCTCTTGGAGTTCTGGTTGCAATGCCAATCACCACCACTTCTTCCAATATTTTGATGAATAGACTCCATTTCATAATGGATACTAGTTTCACAATGAATTAAAAAAGGGATGATCATAGAAAAATTAGATTATCGCAGGTCTTGAGAGTTCAGAGCGCCGAGAAGTGAGCACAGAACTTCTTCTTGTCTCCCTGTAGCTCAATGAGCTCACCTCAAACTTGTTGTTTTCTTGATAATTCATTCTCGACTCTGTACTTGAAGGTCGGTAACTTGGTTCTCCCTAACATCTTCTGGCGATCTTCGACAGGTTGAAGAATGCACCCTGTTTCTCCCGTGATAGTTCATAGAACTTGCTCTCCACATCACGTTCGAAGTCTCCAAAATGTTGATCATCTTACCAGGGTTCAATTCTCGGAAGAGGGGGTTGAAAATGCATTACATTTTCCAACCGTCGATCTGTAGTTAAGCAGCGATTATGCCCACCCAATTCTCACATGTTCGAAGTCTGTACCCCGAAGAATACAAAGTGCGTATTACCAGAAAGCCTTAAAAAAGCATTATATCTACACAATCGAATGTCTCCTTGTGTAAGTCAAAACGAGATATGATGAAGTTTCCTTCGATGGCCTCATAAGCTGTCGTGAGTGAGATTCCCAAGAGCTGCAGGTCTGCATTCGATGGGCACGTGATTTCCTCGTCAAGAGTCATCCTCTGCCTCCTGGAAAAGAGGAAAAATAAACCACACAAAATGTGTTCACACTGTGGGGATTCGGTCTTCGTACGAACGAGACCGGGGGCTGTTCGCTTGTGCAAAAAGAAAACGAAACCGAGCGATGAGGGTCTGAAAGAGTAAAGCAATCGTTCTTAAATCCGAGTCGCGACGCGTGTTCAAGGACGAAGTACTGTAAGTAAGACTCTCTTCCTTGGCAGAAAGGCGTCGGACTCAGAGGAAGTCGCGAAGTCTGTAAAGTACAGTACAGAACTGTACCGTCCATCATCGGGAGAGGGCAGGGCCGCGGGGAAAGAACAACTCATGGCGGGCGGGCGGGCGAGGGACGTGGGACCGGAGTCGTCCGGTGGGACTCTCCGATGCGAAGGAGTCCAATCCGACGGCCGCTCCTGAGCTGGCCCGGGCTGCGGCAGAGCTGCCCGACGGAAGGGCAGGCGACGGAGAGCGTGGCGGACGGGGGAGCGGCCGGGGAGGCGGGAAGGCAGGCGGAAGGTCGGGCCGAGCCCGAGCCTGAGCGCTGATGCAGGTTCGCCGGTAGCGACTCGGGAGGGACCGGAAGCGACGGGCTGGGGCGGAGAGAAAGAGCGCCTCCTGTGAGCCAGTGGGGCAACAGGGGTTGGGGGTCGATTGAGCCGATGGGCGAGTGGCCGAGTGAGGACAAAAGGAGGCGCGAGGCTAGTGGTGGTCAAGGGGAACGAGCGCCAAGAGCTGCACGCGCTCGCTCGAAGGAGGGAGGGAGGGAGGGGAGGGAAGGGACGACGTCGGCGCCAACGCGAACCAAGAAAGATGCGCTCAGAGCTACGCGGTAAGCGGTAAGCGCTCGGCCTCGGGGGCTCTCAATCTTCAGCACCGAGCCTCGTTCTGGCTCCCGCGCACTCCCGCACTCTCGGACCTCTCCGCTTCTTCTCGTCCTGCTCGGTCGGCTGGGGCGGCTGCCTGCCAATTTTGGGGTCACAATCAATTCGTCCGGGGATTTCCACTTCGGACGATGGTGGCCGTCGGAGCCTCTGGGATTGTGCATTTTCGAGACGGGATAGGAGGGCGCAGGAGGGACCAAAGGAAGGAAGGAAGACGAGGATAGGAGTCAGGGGAATCCGATTCGTTTGTACTCTTCCCTTGTGCGGATGAGACGTGCGACGGACTGATGCATGGGTGCGAGTCATTAATTAATTAGTGCGAGGAGAGAGTCGAGAGTCGATAGTGAATGAGATGGTCGCGGATGTTGGGAGGGAGGGGCGAATTCGGGGAGCTGGAGAATGCTGAGCTCCGGGATGAAGTGCACTGGCGAGCAGCGCTGCCAATTCTGAGCTCCGCGGAAGCCTCTCGCGCAGTTCTTCTGCTGATTCGGTGAGGAGCTGCGGAGCAGTGGGGGACTGGCAGAGCGCCAGAGCCTTCGATCTGCAAATCCCAACTGCCGCTCGTACCAGACACGTCATGTAGAGCAGTTTGTCCGAACAATTGGCCTCACAATGTGAGCCAATCGCTCTCAGCTGTACTGTACTTCCATCTCGGTCGTTGTGGCCCCCCTCTTCCCCTCCTCCTCCTGCTCTCCGGGTAGCGCCCCATGGAGCGAGCTCGAACGGATTATGGAATCGGGAAGCTTCTCGCTTCGTCGTGCCGCTAGAGCGCATCGGAGAATTGCGGAATCTCGCATTGAGGTGATTCTCGTAGCTCATTGATTCGTCTTCTCACACCTTGCGAGAGCTTCAGAGGCGTGAGTGAGGCAGAGCGTTGCGTTGGCTGCCCCTCTCGGCCCGCCGAGCTCACATCACATCCCATTTCATCGTCCGCCGAGGCACTTTGATGATGATGTCCGGCGATTGAAAAGAGCGGAGGTGGGAGCCCGGCATGACCTCAACCATTTGAATGTTCACAAGATTGCTTTCGGTTACTCAATTGTACCGGAATGAGTGCTGGCTCGGAACCGTCTGTGAAGATTGAGCGTCACGAAGAACGATTTGATCGGATTCCCGTCGTCGTCTGCTTTGCTTGATGTCGAGTGCTTCGAGTGGTGCGAGTCACACCTCTCGTCCCGTCCCGTCCCGTCTCGTCTCGTCTCGCAGAGCTTCCAATTCAAGCACCAGAAAGGCGCAGATCAGGTCAATTCGATGGCCGATTTCTAGAGGAGCACGACTGGGGTGGGCGGGCGTAGTTGTGTCCCTCGGTAGTTTATCAGACGCAAATGTCGGTCGGTCTTGGGCCGTGGGTGGGCTTCGAAGATCTCATTTGCTTCACTTCACGATTCTGTTCCAAGACTTGCGTGCTCACGAGGAAATGGCATGTGCTTGTGCAGGACGACGCACCGAAAGGATGCACGCTTGGACGTGTTTGAATTCCGGGCAGCGAGAGTCTGCTTCTCGGCGTCAACTGTCGTATCGATCGACGAGGGCGGCCCCTGAGAATCTGTGAGCCCTCGTAGAGTCGCTCGCTGTCTGTTTGCACTTCTCTCAGCGCATGAAAACAGCGAGCGCTCCGACCGACTCGCTTTCAGCTCGCTCACGGGCCTCGAGTGCAAGCGTTTCTTTTTCTCTTCAGTCTTCCGCCGATATCGAGGAGAATTCGACCCGAAGGTCCGCTCCAATTCGCGCAAATGTCGGGTTGCCGAGACCCTTAGGAGGAACCGAAGCTGACCTGGGAGCGGTGGGTGGCGAGATGGAGGGCGATGGCAGAAGCGGAAGAGCGTCGTGCCGTTCCAGGTTTTGAATCGGGAATGGCGGCGGCCTGATCGATCCATCCGGAGCGGATCGGAAAGATGAAGAGAAAATTAGAGTGGGGAGTGATTTTATTTACGGTCTGCGTGATTTTCGTCATCCGGTTCGGGTATCTGGAAGGCCCGAGTCAGTATTTCAATCTGGACCTCTTCTCGAAGTCTTCGATCACGAGCATCAGACTCTACTGGCCGCCGGCGCTCGGGGCGAATGGCTCGTTCGGAGGAGAGCAGCCGAGGATCGCCAGCGGGGACTCGAGAGCCCAGGCGCCGTCGGAATCGCCCGCCGCAGTAGTGCAGGATGCGGCCTCGTCGGCCCTGAGGGTTTTAGGAGCTTGGAGTGGCCTGAAGCGCGTGTTCAATCGGTCGGATCTGGCGCACGAGGTGATCGAGGGATTCAAGGAGGGCATTCTCGCCTGGCGAGACCTGAAGAAGTATGTGGAGGAGGGCGAGAAGGACAAGGACAAGGGCACGGAGGCCGCCGCCGCCGAAGCAGTAGTCGAGAAACGATGCCCGTACTCCGTGAGCTCGACGAATGCCTCGGAGCTCGCCAGCGATGGCGGCGTGCAGTTCCCGTGCGGCCTCGTGCTCGACTCGTCCATCACCGTGATCGCCACCGTCACTCCCGCTGGCTCGGGCGACTTTCAGTTCGAGCTTGTGGGAGCAAAGGCCTCGGGCGACGTCGGCTCTCCGCCAGTCATTCTCCATTACAATGTGCGCATCCTCGGCGACAAGCTCACTGCCGAAGCCGTCATCATCCAGAACACTTGGACCTCGTCGTCTGCCTGGGGCGAGGAAGAGCGGTGTCCCTACGTGGACAAGCAGCCGAAGAAGAATCCAGGTTCGCTGCTTCTCGGTGCATTTTGGTTCGATTGTGTTTTTGGTAAATATTTTGATCGCCTGGAGGGAAGCTTGCGTGCTGATTTCGATGGCGTTGTGCAGTGGATGGGCTCGAGACCTGCATCGAGCAGGTCGGCAAAGCCATTACATGGAAACCTCCGCTCGAAAGAAGATCGGAGACGACCAAGTGGTCCAGTGTATTCAAGGGATCGGAGAAGTCCAAACCTTGGTTTCCGTTCTCGGAGGGAATGCCTTTTGCTGCAACGATCTGGGTTGGGTGGGAAGGGTTTCATATGACAGTGAATGGCAAACACATTTCTTCTTTCGAGTATCGGAAGGTAAAGCTCGAATTGTTTGTCCTCCGCATGAATTACGCTCTAGGATATGTTGCCTGAATGATGAGGATGGACTATCCAACACAAACATTTTGCTTGTGGTTCAGGGTCTCGAGCCATGGCTGGTGAGCAAACTGCAGGTCAAGGGGGACTTGAGAATTTCCTCCATCATCGCCACTGGGCTACCGATATCCGAAAGCGCGGAAGAGGTGGCTGGAGTGGAGTTCCTGAAGGCTCCTCCTTTACCCGGAAAATCGAAAAAGCTGAAATTGTTTATTGGTGTTTTCTCCACAACCAATAATTTCGACAGGAGAATGGCAATTCGGAGGTCGTGGATGCAGAGCGACGAAGTCCGCTCGAGTGACGTCGTCGTGCGCTTCTTTGTCGGCTTGGTATGCAAATCACAACCCAAGCAGTATCTGGTGTAGTCCACGAGTCGAGTCATGTCACTTGACATTCGTATACTCATGCGAGTGGATTTTACATCGCACGTCTGTTGCGCTTCCTTTTCACCGTGTCACTCGAGTGTGTACATGCAATGCCGTCCATGGAGAAGCCACACCGGACTACCTGACACCGCGGACATTCGTCATGAATCTTATCGCCTTTCTAATTGAGATTTTGCAGTCAGTTTTGGCCATTGCTTCGCCGTCTGCCATTAATTGGGACAACTTTCCTGATCGGATTTCTCGTTCTGACTCTTCAAACGTGCCCTTGATTGAATTCACAGCACAAGCAGGATCAAGTCAACAAGGAGATGTGGGATGAAGCGAAGACTTATGGTGATATCCAGCTTTTGCCATTTGTGGACTATTATCATCTTATCACGTTGAAGACAATTGCAATTTGTATCTACGCTGTAGGTACACCTGTGCCTATCTCCTTACCTTTGAGTTGGCTGTAAATGTTGGCTGAAATATCTCTGCTGACAGCATTCTACCTCGTGAAAAGCTTGTAACCGAACTGCAGGGGACATCGAAAACCCTGTTACCTTCTTCAGGTTCTTCCTGTTCTGATCACGACTTTTCTGCCTGACGAAGTGGTGCCTGACGAAGTTAGAAGTTTCTGAATTATCATGCAGACAAAGCACGTCAACGCGGACTACGTCATGAAGACGGACGATGACAGTTTTGTGAGAATCGATGCTGTGCTTGCTGCCATCGATGGGAGACGGGCCCGGTCGAAAAGTCTTCTTCTCGGAGAAGTGGAGAAGACGAACGGCCCTGAGCGCGACATAAACAGCAAGTGGTACATTTCAGAAGCGGTACAGACATCTCCACCTCCTCACAACATCCGCAGTCACTCTTGTCCAGTCTGAGAATCCCCACAAATGGTCATTCTCGTCATAGACTTATCGAAATTGAATGTCGGGTTTAGGGTTTAGGATTCAGATGCGGCATAGTTGGACCTCGATGACCTTTGCCCCATCTTTTTACAGGAGTTTCCTGACCCCAAATACCCGCCATGGGCTCACGGACCCGGTTACGTAATCTCCAGCGACATTGCGAAATTTGTTTCCACCACGAGTGGGAAGAAGGAGTTGAAGGTGTGTTACACAGAAACATTTTGAACACATTGTTATGATGACTCTAATCTGATGACCTTTCGTCGGTCAATCCTTCGGCCAATCTGTCTTTCTTATTTGACTGTCATCAACTCTTGCAGCTCTTCAAGTTGGAGGACGTGGCGATGGGCATTTGGATCGACGAATACCATCGAACTCAAAGACGCGCAATCGAGTACGTCGATGACGATAAGTTCGTGAGCGGAGGATGCGCGGAGAACTACATCATCGCCCACTATCAAAACCCGCGGCAAATGTTGTGCCTTTGGCAAGAGTTGAAGAAACACCAACGACCAGTCTGCTGCAACTGATTTTGTCCACATCACTGTACCATAAGAAGAGTCAAAGTTAGCACCGGCAACCAATTCAGATCTCACGTCCCTAGAATTAGTGCACGTACTTACTCGGGCAGCAGGGTCGATCGCGGTCAACCTTCACTGGTCCAAGAGAAAATCCGAACTTGAGGAGCTGGGATCTTACCCTGTGAAACGATTGTGGCTCCCTTTCCCAATATGGGTCTGCCTGATATAGCAGATTGTTTCACAGCCTATACAATTTGTACATACCTCGATGCAACGCGAGCTGAAAATATAGAAAATCAACCAAACCGGCTGTCTGTTCGCCTGGATTGCTCCCCTGTCTAGTTCGGACATTGTCTCGGATCTTGTTGTTATACCAATACATTGAAATATAATCAGAGTTCATGATTCTGTTTTAGACCACTACCCTCTCGGGAAGCTGCACTAGTTGCAGTACATCTGCTATATCGGGTCATGGACTTCAATAGAATGGTCTGGTCGTATGAACATCCCTCAACTGATGGCCCCACGGACGCAAAAGAGCAGATTCTCGTGAATTTTGGAGATTCCGGAATCACCGTCGGTCTTGACTGGTGATGCCTGTCATGGACGTCACTTCTCAGACTACGGCAAGAACTGAATTTCTAGAATGGGTTGCGTGCCCGACAATCGAAAATCTGAAAAAACTTGAATTTAAACATGAGTGTCAGATCATTTTCTGCAAGGCCGTAGGCAAAGAACATCTTTTGTTCGAGCCCTGATCCAGGGGCGCTCTTCATTAGCTTCTCAACTTCTAGAGATTGCCGCAAACATGAGAGTCATCGGCTGAGTGCAAAACTAAAAATGTGGATAGGGATGTCTGAGCCACTGAGAGGTCAAAGGCTGTCAATGTTGTAATGCTGGATTCTCTTGGTGTGACAGTGACGGCACAGTTGCAGAGGATAAGATTTCATTAGTGAGATCTGCGGGAATAAGAAGAGGACAAACTGTCATTTGAAGCCACCCGAGCCTTTTCATCCTTACACTGTGTCCAACTCTGTTAACAGAACCTTGACGAAAGCAGATGGAACGACACGAATCATGTCGTGAGACCATGAGACAAGGCCCGACTGGCTTCTGGTAGTAAATGGCTTTTTTCGCTGAAGAGTTTTCAGGCAATCAAAATCACGTTTCCTTCCAAATGGATCAAACGTAATCATGAAGTCTCAGGGCATCTTTACTGTCGTGTTTTGATAGCCAGTTTACAACAAGCTCCGTTCTCGCTTGTAATTTACCAGGTCCTAATTCTGCCAGTTCCCGAAATGGCGAGCACATCTCTTCTAAATAGGCAGTGACTGCTTGCTTCACGGCACCCACACCTCTTCCCTTCGCGGCAACATATCTACCTACCCCTGGCTCATTGCTTCCCGTATGTATAACCATGGAAGTGCTATTTTCTGAATATTTAGCCACGTGCTCTAGCCAATCTAAGAGAGCAACTTGCGCACCACCTACAGACAAACCCCTTAAATCTAAGACAGATGTTAAACCCCTGCGGGGTCGATTATACCAAGGCAGAAGGTCTCGTGCTTTCAACATCACGGACCGCGCTCTTCTTCGCAAGCCTCGTCTCCAAAGTGCATCCATTAATGCGTTATAAAAGGAGCGATTGGCCTCCCTATCCTTGAACGTTGCCCACTCCTCGAAGACAGACCATATTTTCTCTATAGCTTCATCCATATCGGCTTCAGGAGTCGACTCCAAACCATCTTTGAACGAAGGGGCACTGACGAGGAAAGTAGCCACCCAGCATGGTTCCCAGTCACTTGCTTGCATGGCCCTCGTCAGTGGAACCATTTCCTCCCCTGTTTCGCCCAACGCAGCGATCAAGACCCCGTAGCCTGCCACATCAGGCTCAATACCCTTACGATCCATCTCTCGGATGATGCCTGCCGCCTCCTTGTACCATCTTCCTTGTACATAAAGGTTCAGCATGGCCCCATACACAAGAGAGCCCAATTGAATATCGTCTTCCCTCATTTTCACGCACACCTGTTTTAAAAACCATCACAGGACATCGTGTCATGAATGAACACTACTATAAACTTGACGACTTTCTTGCATATGTCAAAACAACGCAAACAGAGTGCGAACATGAAAAGCAACGCAGACAGTCCGTGTAGCGTACAGGTTCAACGACAAGTAACTCCTTTCCCTTTTATAATACGTATGCAAAATAAGCCCCATCAAAGAAAAGGCTTGAGTGCTGGAAGTGAATAGACAGCTAAAAGGACTGCGGCAATTGTCTTCAAAAACTTAAGTCCTGAAGCTGCACTGGAGCATGAAACTGTACTCATTCGTATGTGCCTTTCGTTGAATGAAGGCCATAGACCCTGCACCCTGGCTGAGCAGTGCCAGCGTGAAGCACATGAACTTTAGGGTAAAAAAAGATAGAAATAGGACGAAGCCGAGAAAGGACTACTTGAGAGTGGAGAAAGTCTGTATTACGATGGATTCTTTGAATCGGAGTTTTCCCGGTATCAACCGATAAGGTATCCGAAGGGTTATATAAGCCCCAGGACAAATTGCCTCAGGCTCTGGGTTTGCAAGACTAGAGAAATCATTGAGCAGCTTGGACTTCACCATCAGAGCTATGTTACGAGGCAGTTGACTTTCAACACAAAAAAGCTGAAAGAGCTGCATTCGACACAACAATTAATGGACGAGTTTCGAGTTCATGAGCTGAGGTGAGCGTGTGGAGAGACTCTTCATGAATTTCAACCCTTCGAAATTGGACCTGAGGCGAGTGCCCAAAGAATGAACACCCAGGACGCGGAGCCCTTGAAGCTGACGAGATCAAGAGCGCTTCAAGATGAAGGTTCCGGGTAGATATCTAAATTCTAAGTTTCTCCATACATCTCCAGTTTGTATGTGAATAGATTCCGTATCGTTAAAGATGATCGATTGCAGGGACTTCTGATTAGCTGTGGCTTCATCCTCTACTTTCGAGATTCTCTATTAGAGAATCTGGTGTCATAGAGGCGTCAAAGTTGCCTCACTACCCACAAGACGCAAAACAAATGTCACTACATCTAGATTTCTTCCAAAATGAAAGACACCGCACCTCATGTCCAAGTCTGGTCCAAGAGCAAGCGGTATAAGCGCGTATCATTGCTGTATACGTGTAAGCACTTGGAGCAACTCTTTTCTGCAGCATCTTCTTGTACAACCTGTCCGCTTTATCATATTGGCCAGCTTGCACCATGGCACATATCAGGGAGGTAAATGTCACGGTACTTGGGCGCAACCCATTATTACACAGCTCAGAATACAGAGCTAAGCTTTCCTCATAACGCCCACCCTTGCCACTCGCTTCTATAAGGTAATTGTAGGCAATCAGCGACGGTTTTGTTGCCTGTCATTTTTACCAAACCATGCATTAGGAGCGTCCTGCAGAGACTAATCGCATCATCTCGAAAAGAATGGTCAAATGATTCAAGGTCTAGCTTAGGAATGGTCAAACCAAAGCTGAAGCGATGTTTGTATGGACTAAGGTATAAATGTTCTACTTTGATATTCATTAAAACAAAAGATTCCTGAAAAACGAACAAGAGTAACTAACAGGGACTTGAGAACGTCAATTCTAAAGTAAAACTGACATGACAACATGGTGCACACAATGTTCGTAAGTTTAAAATCACTGAATAGAATCGCCGTACCAGTTTGTACTCCCGAAAAACGCTGAAAGCTTGATCCAAGCAGCCAGCTTGACAGTACGCCAACAGAAGGGCATCATAGACACTTGCGCTAGGGGGTATTCCTGCAGCTCTAAGCGCTCTAAATATCTCTTCAGCCTCCTTGTAACCTCCTGCACTTGCATGAAGCTGAATCATCTTCACCCAGGTCTGCGAAAAATATCCGTTACCTCGTCAAGATTTGTGAGCATAAAGAAGAATTCAAACGAGGGAGAGATCCAGAAGAGAGTGTCTGCTTGTCAAATTGCATCAGCAAAAAAAATACTGGTAACACCACTCAACACACATTTCCTCACAAACTGCGCACTGATATGCGACACTTCCTTGTCGGTTTCGAATGTGCAAACTCTCAGATGATTGCATTCAGCATAATGTGAGCGACTGGCAGACAATTTTCACAGAGGGATTGAAACGGACTGGAACATGAGGTCACACTTGAAGACAGCTTGAGCCTAAAGTTCAGACAAATCCGTCTTCAAAGCGTGAGAAAAGGCAAGTCAGTTTCTTTCCGACATTTGCAAAACACACTGCGGCAATTACCTTGCTGTATATGGTATGACCTGAGGCACGCATGGCCAAAAAAACTTCATCAGCGGCAAGGATGTCACGAGCATCGGCACACGCTTCAATCAGTTTCAAATACGTCTTGATACCGACTTCCATACTGTTCTGCAACATACTTCGAAATACTTGAATCGCTTTTCCTACCTGGGGGGATTTTGCTTTCAAAGCCGCAGAAATCATCTGTCAAAATCGACCGAAAAGATTCAGTACTCACCAAATTCTTAGGACGATGATGACCAGAGTACGAAAGCTCGGACTTTTGATTTCCACGTCAAACAATTCTAGGTTAACTACGCACAAACATGGTGGACTGGGCACTACAGATCAGATTGACAACTGTACAAGAAACGCACATTGGTGATCAGCCGGATGCACTACTCGATATTTCTCTCCTTGCAGAGTATTCAGGGTAAGCCAGTGGGTTAAACCACTTGACCAGTAGAAAGATCTTCAATTACCAGTTCAAGAGTAGCACGATCCGGGAGAATTCCTTGCTTCTCCATTTGAACCATTACTTGAGAGACGTGCGAAACCAATCCAAAATTCGAGTATGCTTCGGCCACAACGTTGTAAAACCGTAAATCTGGCTCCACATTCTCGTCCTTCATCTCGTGGAGAAGCGTGTCAACCTCACTCAGTCGTCCCTTTCTGCTCAGAACTCCGACAACCGTCGTGTAGGCCCTTAACAATGGACTCGGTTTGGCCCGCTCTGTACCGACAGAACTCACCGAATTCTCCCTAAAACTAGTTGCACTCAGGTCTGATGAGTCAGTACAATTTTCGGGTAACAGAGGGCTTCGGCTTTTGAACACCTTGAATACATCCATGGCAAGAGTCCAGTCCCGACTTCCGACTTCCAACAAAATCTTGTTCCACTCTTCCACGCTAAGAACAGAGATCCAAGGTTGCAAAATTGCTTCCACATTGCCCCCGGCTGCGATATCTGCAATTAGGTCGAGAAAATCCCTCTTCCAGGGTCCATCCACTTTCGCAGGCGAACTAGCGGGCAAGGGCTGCAGCACAGTCTGCGATATCAATCTCCTTCCCCTGTAAACCCACCGACTCGTGCTGGCCACAGTCTTCCCATCTCCCGAAAGAGCCCTGACAATCCCAGCAGGAAGCTTCCTACTCCCGATTGCCACTCTGCCCTCGCATCTCCTCCCGCTCGCAGCTCCGAAATTCTCATTGCTGCAATGAAAAATGCTCGAAGCTACAGAGGATGCCAAATCCACCGTTGCCATCGCTCTGCTCTCCGCGGGCAACCAATTCCTCGACTCGCCCTTCCCCCGTCTACATCCCCGTCGTCACCGCACGAAATTCAGCCCGCTGCAGACAGACCACCGAGATTCACCACCCACCATTGCCGGCAATCAGACCCATCACCGACTCCTCCGCCGCATCCCCTCTCTCCAGATTCCGATTCCTTTTTCCTGCCACGATCCAATTCCTCATCCAGCACCAAACGCCTCGATCCCCACCGACCCAATCGACTGCAAATCCGACTCAAATCACTCGCTCAGCCTTCGCGAAAATTCCCAACACGCCCTCCCTCGCTCCCTCATAATCGTCCGCCCGAAAACTTTCGCTCCGCACTCGAGCTCGTGCTCGATTCCTGCACTGGCGACTCCAACGACGACCCCTCCCGAGGCTCTATCGGCAGAAATCCACGCCTCCTGCCGCTCCTGCCGTCGTCGCTGCAGTCGCGGTTGTCACGACGACGACGACGACGACGAAGACGAACAGCGACGGCCTTCGCTCGGAGGGCGCAACAACAAGATCGGGATTGCCCTGCGCCTTCTGTCCATTAAAGATTTAGGGGACGGGAGCGGGGGCTCAAGAAGCCAGCCTTCCGTTTTGCGCGGCCCGGCACCACCTTATCGGTTACGGGAGCCTCGGCGGCTCGCCTCAGCTCCGGCCGCGCGGATTTCCGCCCCCTCGATTCGTCGCTAATGTGCGCCGGATTCGTCCCAGCCTCGCCGGACGTAAGCTGCAGGCGGACGTCTCCTCGTCTGCCGAGACCGCGTTTGAGGCTCGGAGCGGATGTGGTGTGTGAGGTCGTGACACTGCTTTTATTTTGTTCTGACATAACTTTCCCAGTTATTTTCGCTTTATTCTTTATTGTTGCCAGATTTGCTTTGTAACTAAGACGGGATTATTGAAGCTTCTTTGGAAAAACCATGGGAAGAAGCATCAAACACTACAAATGTGAACAGGTGCCGCCCCTAGTAGATCATGATGAGAAATATATCATATAAGACTTGACCAAACGATGTAAAAAATAACATACGATGTTGTATCCTTTAAAATGATTGTCTCACCGCCTATAGCTCTGAACAATGCTCTCCGTGGAGCAATGTAAACGTTGTCTATTATAAACTACACTTTCGTTGTACAAAATGATACACTCTATAGTCTATTATAATAGTATTACGTGTAGCTTCTCTCGAACGTATGAAGTTCTACATCCAAAGCTCCATAGATCTCCAATGGCATGGAACAAAGTAGTGCTCTCTCTACATACCCCCGATAATTGGAGACTTTTGGCTGCTTCTCCCAAGTTCATAGTTCATCCAAGAAGATAAGTGATCATTCTTGAAGAATTTTATCATAGGTATAATAAAACTATTAAATTTGCAATCGTAACTGAGATTTTTGGAATCTTACATAATTTTGTCATAACTTTCATCAGTTGCAACGCTGGTCAATGCTTTTCCCATTTGAGGTTCTGAGCTTCTCGCTTCATTGAAAGCATCACATCTGAAATTGCATTGAGATTAACCGTATAATCTGTTCCAAAAGATCATTGATTATGTGAATTCATGTTTCATCTAGAGTAATATGACACTCACACATGAACAACGAAGTTGTGAATGGATGAAACAAACCTAAACTTGATTGTTCTCTTTAGCATCTCAACACTTTGAAAGAATATAACTTGTTGATAGTCGAAAAACCTATACATGATTGAGCCAAGATCCAAATATATACATGTTTGTTAGATCAAGAGCATGAATGTACTATAAGAAATGATAAGATCAGCTATGAATGAATGTAAAGTTTGCTGAAATTGCATATTTGACTAGGTTGAAAGGAATCAAATGACTGCTGCAATACGTTTAGTTGAAATGGCGCAGAAAAATTAGATGGTAATCCAATCAAAGTAATTGCTTGTATTCATAAAACTATGTTAAAAAATTCAAGAGGTCTAAGACAAAAGCTATTGAAGAGATAAATGACCTCATTCTTTAGGTTTTAGGATTGGAGAGCTTTACTATAGATTCTTGTGTGAAAACAATTTAATATTTCACGTTGTTCAATTACTTCATCAATCAGAACATACACAAATCTTGAATCTATACCAAAAAGAACTATACAACGATTCATGATAGTAGCAAACACTCAAATTTTCAATCACATGCTTGTGGAAAACATTTCAATTTGTGTATAACATAAATTTAAAATGAAAAATACAGTTTTTTGTTTTATTCACTATGTATTAAATTGATCTTTTCATATTAAGTTGAGAAAAAATAAGATATATATAGCTATATATCTTGAATTTAAGTAAAGCTCCTAAAATTTCACCTAAATAAATATTATAGATTGCAAAATAAATTTCAATTCTAACATATAATATCTGATGTATTTGAGATTGATTGGCTTGAATGAGGATCAAATTATAAAATTAAAATGGGAAAATAATCTAAATATTCATTCTTCAAAATATAACTTGATACATAAATATCATAGATTCAAAAATAATAATTTTATTCCTTTATTTTAATTAGATTTTTTAATTATTCCTTAAATTCAAATTTAACCTTAAATTCTAAAAAACTACAAATATAATATATTTTATAATAAATAAATAATTTACTCTAAATTTTAAAAAATGTATATGAAAATTTTAATTCTGTGGATTGAAAAAAATTTATAATCCGATCAATTTCATGAATTTTTTCAATTAAATTTTACAAAAAATTGCCATCATATCTTTTAAAAAATAATGTCAATTGTATAAATTATGTCAACATTTTCATTTAAAAGGAAATATCATATAAATTCCATTTATTATAAAAATAAATAAAAAAGTATCAAAATCTTACATTTTAAAAAATCATACAGGAGTTGTTCAATTTCACGAGTTGTTCATTGAATTTGCTTGACTCATTCATTCTTCATTGTTTTATGTCTACAAAACTGTGAAATCAGAAACTTCAGTCAAGGTTGATTATAAGTCTGATTGACTAGATAATCATTTAGATAATAAATAAGAATGAAAGATTTTTCAAACTTATAACATATAAAATGTTTGTAGAAAAAAACACACATTAAACAATCAATTATTGAAGTTAGTTGGTTGCATTATTGAAGCAAATTTCATATTGCGTCATAAACTCTTTTGTGTCATCAAATTTTTTAAAAGAGAATGCTTTCAAGTCCAACATACTTTTATTATTAGAACTCAAAAAAGAAACTCATCTTGCGATCTTTTACTTACAAAATTAAATTATGTTTTTAATCAATACTAAGATATCTAATGTTTGAAACATTAACAGAATATTTCTCAAATTATCTTCATGTGACTTGTAAATGTTGAAAATACTTTTCAAATATTAATGATGAAATTTTCAAGTCTAACGATTTTTGAAATGTATTCAAATCCAAAAATTATATTATTATTTTAAAATTTGGCTTTAATTTTGGTAATTGTAGTTGATTCAGTTGCTACTTCTCTAGTTTATTCAAAAAGTTTCTTGGACTTGATATGAATAATGCAATTTTTAGCTTTAGAAACATCTCATATATGATTTTAGTATATATACATGTATTGGTATTATGACATATTGAGCTACAATGATATAATGAGAAAATATACAAATTATTATCATGAAATATTTGACAAATGAGTTGAAGGTATTTTCCAACCCTTGCATCTTCTCATAATCCATGCAAATATTTTCAATGAATTCAAAACAAATATATTATCTATATAACCAACACTAATTTTCAAATATTTTAATAGTATTTATCAACTAAAAATTAGGGTTTTCTCAATCAGAAAAATATATAAATTACTATTTTAAGATATCATTTTATGTTTTGGAAAAATCATTTATTATTCAAGATTTATCAAATATATTTGAAATTTTTTTTTGAAAAACATGTGATTGAAAAAGCATGAAATTATTAATTCTATATTAATAATTTCATAATTGATACATTATAAAATACATATTTATACTTATACAATTGCATATGTTACAAAGTTAGTAATAGATAGATTAGGAAAGAATTGAAAAAATTAGATTTTTTTGTATTAACTTAATATGATGATATGATTTTTTTTTAAAAAGTAAAAAATTAAAAAATAGGTTAAACTAATGATTGATTTGAATATTTTAATAGTCATCACCAAACCTCCATAGATTAGACATTTTAAGAATAAATGCCTAAAATGCATAATTTCATATTTCAAAGCTGTCTAATATAAAAAATGCATGATGGAGTAGTTCACAATGTCAAATTTGCAAATGACTAGAACAAGAATGCTATAATAACTTTTTAATAATGCTATACTGCACGTTACACCGTTCAACACGTTGCATCAAGAGGCGAATGGTCTTCAAGTTTCAGAAAGAGATATCGACACAAGTCCAACCATTGTTATTGCATGGAGGTTTTGTGTCACATTTGGTCGCGAGTGCAAAGTCGGTGCAAAATGTTCGAAATTGACCATCAAGAAGACGTATGGTCCAATATCCTGCCCCAAGAACAATCACATTCATCTCGAAAGCAAGCATTTACTCCGTTGTATCATGCATTCTTTAAAGAAAATAAGCTGATTTATTTGACATTGATTTGTACTTTGTGAACACAATTTTTGTCACATCTCGATTGAGACACAAACCACGTGATCTACATCATCGATAAAAACATTGTTGATGTCATAATCGGAAAAATGTTATGGGATACCAAAGATGTTGAATGTCAAACCTACAATAATGTCATATGCGCGTTCACGCTCAATTCTAACACAGTGAATTATTCTGTGACGATCAAGATCCTAATGACATATCATATCGCAATTGAATACGTTGGCATTGATATGAGTCTCCGACGAACTACATTGGCGTTCAGGCGACAAAAGAATTTGCAATGATTTTCAAAATCGGTGAAATGAATGATTTGAAGATTGGTACATTTGTTCGCATTCAATGTAGTGACAATTTTCAGATCATTGCTAACATACTTTACATGATGTGGAATTTTTTGATCACGGATGATGTTTTCACTTGCATAAATATGTTGTACATCGATGTTAGTGTTTTACAATTTGTATCTCATTTCAATCCCATTTCAAGAGTCTTATATTGTTTTGTCACAATTTGAAATTATGTGCATATTATTTGACATATTCTCCCCCAATTGGAGGAACCAATTGATGGATGCATCGTCTGACAGAGCTTGAAACATGACTGATCATGTGGTTGGTGTTATCACGTGGCTGCAATAGTGTTCACTGGAAGTATTTATTCTTGTATGGTGTCTTCTCCATCAATAAGACATTCGGCTGCAGAAGACATACTTGAAGCTGAATGATGATGCATGATATATGACACTAGTATCTATGATTTCCCACTTCCGTTGCAACATATGCTTATTTGTGAGATAAATTTGACTTGTCCCGAGACATATAGAATTCGTTGGCACACTCTGTTCAATGCCACAAGCTGGCTCGATGATCATCCCCACAAGATCAATGACCATTATTCTGAAATTCAAGTAGGTTTTTTTTGACGTGATTCTCAACATGAAAATGACGTCTTATGAATTTTAAATGCCGTCACAAGAAGTATCACAAGTTCCATACACGTGATGGTGATGTGATTCCAAGATCATACTTTCACTCTTAGCCAACAAAGAATATATATTCAATAGCTTATTGCTGAGTTAATGCTCACTATTAGTGCATCTCGCAACTCCGACGTTGACAATATGGACAAATTCACTCATGTCATCCACAACGATTGATCTACTTCCTATATTGAAATCACAAGTTTCATTGAAGATCTTGGTCATTTTGCTTTGATGAGAATTAACACTATTATTGAATTTAATCAACTGTTACTTCTTCGTAACATTGCATTCTTTATTTTCAACATCATTCACAGATTTATGTATTGCGTAGCCATGCGAGATGAACGCGGATCCAACAACTATCTTGATTGTTCATCAGTATACATTATATAATTATTAAAGTTTAAAATTCGTGATATCCGCTGTTTTATCATTCAATAAAAATCTCACCTTTACTGTAGTTGTTTTTATTCCATAATTGAAAAAATTAAATCCCAATATGCAAAGCTTTGCACCATGTACAAGAATGTCTAAACGAATTACATAGTCATGGATTCATGAAATCACCTTTGTTCATTCGAAGATGCTTGGGCAATGATCTATCAGGCCGTTTAAATTTGCTGGTCCACTTTGTTGGAATCATGGGTTCACCTTTTCCCAACACGAAGTCACTTTAGAGTTACTTCTTGATGTTGAAATTTAGTGATAACTTATTCAATCTGTCATTTATTGATTTTTCTCTTGAAAGATTTTCCATTGCTAGGAAAAAAGCTATGATTTAGTTTTACTTTGTAGAAATTCTCATTGAATCATATATGGATACTAGAAACTAACTCCTTCAAGACTTGAGTAAAGGGAAAATTTGTAAAATCAACCCGCGTCTTGTTAACCGTAATTAGACTTGGCCTGTAATTAGGATTCGAGTTTGTTCAAGTTTAGGGTTTAGTTCGGGCCCGTAATTTGAATGTTTAGCCCTAGTACATTTCAGTTCAATCTCACATGTTTAACTAATGGAAAAAGAGATAATCAAGAGTTTGGTTTTGGAGACCTGATGTATCATTCTTGTTTTAGTAAAGCTTGTATTTTGGCTGTGTATGTAGCCTTATGTGGAGGTGAAAAAGGTACATTGATATATTATTCTTGTTGTGTCGGACCTGCAATATCCTTGAAGAAGATGTTTGTTCTTAATGCAATAAGCCTTAGATTTTTCTGGATAAAATTGAATGAAATGCAGAAATGCAAATCATTGATTGACGATAAGGTTTGAAAATTAGTAAAATATTCAGAAGATCAACAAAACATATAAAATATTAGGTGGATTCAAAACTAAATGATAATCTCTAAAACAAAGAAAATTTACAAGACTAAGTTGGTGTTCAAGTGATTCACACAACACAAATGTATGAATTTTAATGAGATTTGTTCTTGAGTTGCTAAATGTGCTACTATATACTTGTAACTTTATTTGATCTTATTAGATCAAATTTATAAAGTCATTGTCTCTTTTTTGTTGGGATAAGGTTATTCTGATGACACAATCTAAGGGCATTGTGAAGAAATAGGAAGTCAATATGATGTGTAGGGTGCTGAAATACTTCTATGGAGAAAAGCAAGTCTTTGAATGAAGAAACAATTGGTTTGATAATTTCATCATATTGCAAATAAAATATATATGATCCTTGTCTGCATATGAAAAATGTTATTAATAAAATATTCTTTTATCACTAACATTTATTATTCTAGTAATTTAAGATGATGCCATGCTTAATGCAGTTGAATAGAAATGTGATGTTGATAAGTTCAAACTGCTCATAATTCTAAATATAGAATAAAAAACTTGCTGCATCAAGAAATATATTGGGAATAATTTCCAAAGGTGAATAGCCATGGTGTAAAGTCTGCTCAAATCAAATATGCTAGAAAGAAAATTGCAAAGTTCAAAATGATTGAGTAAAGGCTATAAGTATTCCTCACTTCAAGCCTTTATTAACTCTTTGTTTGACCGTGAAACGTGAAGAAAGATTTGATATTCAAGATATCATATGACGAGGCAGGAAAAATTCATGCCTTTGATGATTTGGATTGGGCTTGAGTTTCCTCTTACCATTGTCAAGATTCGCAAATACATGTCAAATATTAGAAAGATTCATAAGTAGATTATGAAATGTATTTTCAAATATTTCAAAAAGACAGTAAGATTTTGATGTTGTGTTTGAAACCAAGTTGTACAATCCCAAATCATGATTGGATATATAAGTGTTGCATTCAAAAGTAGAGAATCAAACAAATTTGGTTAGAAATACTTGAATCCAATTCCGGATGAAGCCGTCACAGATATGCCCTCTCCTTCCTTCCACGGCGTCTGGCAAACCTCATCCTATTCATCGGAAGCTCGAGAAAGTGTGTCAACGACTGACAGTCGAGTAACTAGAACTGCATTTGATGTGTGCAACACTTCTGAACCCCTTTAAAAAGGATTTACGGCAGCACCACCATCGTTCTCAGCAGAGAGCTTGTGGTTCACTAGTGGTTTCCCTGGCGGCTGTGAACAAGAAAGAGATGGCATTCAAAGTACAAGTTGGACCTGGTCCTCTTGTACCCATCGATTGCTGCAGGAAGCTACTTGCTCGATTCTTCTAAGAGTGCAGTGATCGTTGCAGTAACTGTTTTATTGGGAGCAAGCACTTGACTCTTATGAGTTGTGCTTCTATATAGGTGCGAGCGAGAGTGTCTGCGCAACAGGCGACGTCATTTGGAAGTCTCGGCGTTCAACGTCTGCAACATTGATCACATAAAATGCACATCTTCGTACTCGCACAAACCCAAATCGCTGTAAAGTTTCCTCATGCCGCATGATCCCCTCATGCCGCATGAGAGTGACTGGTGGATGTGTCTGCACGAGAAAATATTTCATGTTCGGCAAAAAAGGTCATGCAATTTTCCTCATCCAATCCATGGCTTTCTTCTTCCAACCTTGCGGTGACACTAACCGCTCGACACAAGGCGCAGCGTCTACGAGGTTGCGGTCGGAGCTGGGGCTCTTGCCGTCGCTCCACCGCTATTATCGCTACTGATACAGCTATTGCAACGTCGGCTTTGTGCGTGCTTAAGAACGCAACTAGGGCTCCGCACTGGTCACATCGAAATGAACAGCAACCATTCTTCGAAGTGACTCCCATAAGCAACATTTCCTATTTCGTAAATCCCAGCTTTGATCGAAGCAGCCACATACACGATTGGTTGTAGACCGGAGGAACACTGTCAATTCACGGTCCTGAAGACAATATTCTCAGGAAACCCGACCAGGAAGCAGGCAATTTTGCACTTCATGGCCCGTTTCCATCCAAGGGCGAGGATAATTTCGACGATAATATCTCCGACCTTGGTAGGATTGACTCCAGACCGCTCGAAGAAGGCCAACTAATGCTTCACAAGCGAATCCATACAAGTCCAGAGCTTCAAGCTCCGCTGATCCGTAACGAAGGCATACATGACGTCGCCTCCAGTCTCCTATCCGGTCGAAAGAAGAGCTACCTTCGAAAGTTCTGTCAAAATTCAACCCAACCGCGCCATCGGTGGCACCCTGTTGCAATCTGTGATACTAGGAAGAAGAGAGTGCATCGTCAAACCATCGATGCTCTTTCTGCCTACCAAGTGGCTTTTGATCTTTTTGGAAACGAGTATCAACTGTTTCTTTTAAGTAAAAGAGATCGTCTCCCCGAAGTCAGAGCTTCGAGTTCTCTTGATGTTGCCTGTAGTGGTGCTCCTGCTGCCCTCCCGTAGAGATGCCTGCACAACCAGTTACTGCTGATGCGCACAATGAGGCCACTACAGAGAGCGTTCCGACTGCCATGGATACCTCTGATGGAGAGCGTTCCTAAAGGACTCCCCTATTAGCTCGTGAACCTTCACCAGCCCCACAAGTGACACCATGTCATGTTGGTCGACCCATTAGGAAATCTCCAGAGCCGACTGCAGCAGCGGAAGATGCAGCACAGTCGTCGGAATTTAAAACTAGTGATAACTAAATGATAATCCATAAAAACTAATATTTTGATAGAAACTTTATTTAAAAACTTTATCATTAAATTTCTATATCTGAACTAGTCTTTTATTTATTGAAATGTTATCATTTAGTACATTTGTAATTCAAGATACTAAAAAATATACTTAAATATTATAACTTTTTTCAACTTTCAATTTTAATATCTATAATTACTCAACTTCGTTACTGATAAATAATTCACTAATATGAACGTAGAACTGAAACCTCAACTTTGTAATTCCACAAGATGCACCTTTTCTCAGCACTAGTAACATGCTTTTGTATCCGAAGTTTTGTCCAGATTTGATGACAATTGATCTTCTACTCCCTGTTGCGAAGTAGTACACTCAAGATACAATGTAATTTCAATGAGGGACGAATTTCTACTATGCACTAACTAATAATCTACACAATTTTCCTTGAAGTCAGTAAACCAAGCTATATTCAAACACAGTTCCTTACATCATACCAGTGGCGGAGCTACATGGGGGGCACGCCCCCACCTGTAGGGTTTTCATTGGAAATTGGCGGGGAGTCAATTTGCTCTTCTGATCTCATAAATTCTTATTCTTCTCGGGGATTTGGGGTATTATGAAGACACGTTTAAATTAATTTTTCCTGGAGAAACCCGTAAAATTTTGGCCATCAAATTTGGCGTAAAATCTTAACTCGAAAATTTAAAACCCAAATCTTTCAAGGTTTTGCGACACCAGATTTAGGGGAAACAATCCCCTCCCTTTCAAGGACAGTTTCCAGAAATACTCAATGCCCGTCAAAAAGCAGTCCAAAAAGATAGTCCCTTTGTCATAGAGGTCATTTGCACCTGATGATAAAACCGTATTCAATGTGGGTGCTGAAGCCAAGTTACCAGGAAAACCAGTGGTGACGCAGAGAATTCTTCGCCGAACCTAAACAAAACCAAGGCAACCATACGATGTGTAGATTACCAGCTACAATACAACCTCCGACCTGATCGACCGCACAAACTTGGGACACAAGCTTTTGCACATGCATTCGGAATTCGATTCCTGCTGCAACACAGATATTGACGAAGTTGAGGAGTGAACCAGAACTGGCGAGTCTTCGTCACGAAACAAGTGAGTAGATGGTCATGGCCACAATAGCATACACGTGGATAGCCAGAATAGCCAACTTCCTCTGCCTGGAAAAATCGTTCTGATCTAGAGGAATCTCATAGCTAGTCCTTCGGAATCTGAACGGCAAACAAAGGAGTTGCCGAGGACTCGAGACCAACACCCCGTGTGCCAGATACCACAGATGATCGAACCGCGTCTTGACCCCCACTTTGACATCGAGGTACAGCTTGAACGTGGAGAAGATACGGCGAGCGGCCTGGACGAGAACGAGAAGAAGACCCAAAATCGTGCAGACCGTCATGAGGGTCCGCGTGTCGGGAGGCAGGTTGGCATAGCCCGCCCCGACGAAGGCTCCCACTCCGGACACGACACAGAAGATGAGGGGGACGACGAGCTGGGCCTGCTCGTGGGCGAAGAAGACGCGCAGACTCGTGGACGTGGTGTTGATGGTGCCGCCCGTGATGCGCTGCGTGTGCTGCTGCGTGGAGATGGTCGTGCCCAGGCAGCACAGGATCGTGTACATGGAGAAGTAGAAGGACATGCAATTGTAGGCCCAGAAGAAGCGCACGGCCCGCGCATAGTACCCGTATGCGGTACCGAACGGCGGTTGCAGCAGAGCGCTGAATGTTACTCCTCCGAGCAGCGTGGCCGCCACCAGCACGGCGTTGACGGCGTTCTGTGCCCCCGTCTTCATGCTGTTGACCTCGTTCATCAGCGGCTCGTTCCCTGGCTGGCGCTCGAGCATGTCGAGCACCGAGTGCAGGCGGAGCGAGCTGTTGCCGAATTGCAAGCTGCACGAGGATCGGAGCCAGGCCAGATCCAGCGGGAGGACGCCGGACTCGTTGTAGTTGCTGGGCTGGAACCGGGGATGGTTGCAGAACTTCATGACCATTCTTCGCAGCGTCCAGGAGCTGCAGCAGCGAATTGCGAGGTGCAGAGGGGTGTCGGAGACGCAGGTCGCCTCGTAGAATCGGAACCGTTCGGATTTCTTCCGGGTCCACCAGGTGTGCAATGTCAGATCCGTCCATGGCGGCCGCGCTAGACCGACTGTCGATTTCAGGACGGCATTCACTTCCACTTCTCGGTCAGACATCAGGACGTCGAATGTCTCCGTGGATTCCGCTCTGATGGCGCAGTGCAGAGGGGTCATTCCGCTGCCATCGGCTGTGAGGATGTTCACATTTGCGCTCGGGCAGTTGGAGAGGAGGTGCGAGAGGACCTCTGCGTTGTCTTGTGTGGCAGCCAGGTGGAAAATCGTGTGCCCTGCCATCGAGCATTCGTACTTCAGGTAGCGGTCAACGTCCTCCCGTATCATTGACTTTGCATCCAACCTCTGCCTGTCCGCGGTGCCCATTCTTTCCCACATTCCCTGTAATAAGCTTCCGTCCGTTGTTCTCCTCTCTGTCTCTATATCCCGGTACTTATTCCGATTCTCCTTCCGATTCTCCTTCTCGGAAGTCTCAGACTGTTTCTTCGGACGAACGCCGGAGACTGTCTGTAAAACATCGTCGCTCGGGAACAATGAAATCGGCCAGGGCAGATCGTCGATGAGCCTTGCTTCAGGACCAACTGCGCGGTTGATTTGATCAGGCCGAGCATCAATTAATGTCCTGACCAAGACCAAACTACAAATTCTCCTGGGCTTCATTACCTCCATGAGCAAAGGAGTGAGGTTCTGAACAGAGTCTTCTGGGCAAATGTCGATACCAGGAAATTTAATCAGTTCCTTGACGACCCTCTGGTGCCCTCCTCCTACTGCATAGTGCAAAGCTGTTCTGCACAGCAATTTATCGCGGGCATTAACATCAGCAGTAGGATTTTTTCCGTACCAGTGAAGCAAGGATGTGACGATGGTTTCATGGCCTCCATAAGCGGCGAAATGCAAGGCCGTGAAGCCTTCGGATGTGGCCGCTTCGACCTTCGGATTTGGCCGATTACCCTCTAGAAGAATTGCATCCACTACATCTTTCTGCCCCATGGCTGCTGCGTGATGCAGTGGAGTGAAGCCTCCGACGGTGGTCTCATTCGCACCTGCACTATTCTGAAGCTGTCGGTCACCGTTGTCCAAGCTTCGTCGCTCCGGCTGCGATCCCTCGATCGACGGAGCTCGATGTGTGGAGCTTTCCTCTGAAGCCTCAATTTCGTGTCCCATTCTGTCTGAAATTTGCTTCTATAGGACAGAATTCTTGAAATGAACATCCAGATTTGTCCCAGGGTCAAAACAACACAGGTCTCAGAAACACTCACTCCACCTCGTCGAGCGACACGCAGGCGTGAAATCCTCGATAAGACCGTGGGTAAGGCGAGGGTACTCGGCAAGCAGCGACGTCTTGGTCCTGTTGATATCAGACGACTCGACGACATGCGTCAAAGTCGAGTCGCCTTTCCTTTTGGCAGCCTTCTCTGGCGCTCGACAGAAACAAGACTCTGTTCCACAGCTGAGGCCATCACCGTATTCGAAGCTCTAAGATTGGGCCTCAGAGTCTGTACCATTCAGATCTGAACGCATCGTGGCGCTAAATGTAAACCTCGTGCCCCTAATCTACTCCATCTTTGTGAAACATGGAAAAGAGATTTTACAGACGCTAGCTAGAGGTACCTGCAGATGCGCAGACAATCAACTAGTCTGACCTGCGTCCGAAGTCAACCGCGAAGGAAACAGCAGGCGATTCTCATTTTTTAGACCCCTCGAGCCATGGCCGCATATGGATCCGCCCGGCGGCAAACTTCCACATGAAGCATCGACCTAATTTACTTACTGTCTCACACACGATACATAAGGAAGAATAGAAAACAGTCAAAACTGCTCAGACCCAAATCAGAGCAGCAGACTCCAGTTAGTGATTCGAATACAGCCCACAACTCACGTACCCAAAAGCTTGGAGAGTTGGAAGATCACCGGGAGAACTCGTACGAGTCCTACGATATGAATTGCGAGGATTGTGACAATCTCCTCGCAATCCACCTCTTTCCGGAGCTGTGTTATTCCTCATTGCAGTCCATCCGGTCAAGCAGACCAATTTGGCTCGGGATGACTTGTTAAGGATCCAGACATTATTCTATTCAAGTGTAAGCCAGAGTCTGGCAGGCTTTACCCCGAGATACGAAGACTTTTGGTTCATGCGGAACTTTCAAGCTCATTGCGGCTCATTTCCATGCTCAAGATGAGAGAAAGTGGACAGTAGGATAACAGAATTACTCATCCACAGTACGATCAATCTCAACTTGCCGCAACTCAGCACTGTTAATTCCGACACAAGAAGATCGAAATGACAGACCCGAGTTTTCAGTCTGGGACCTATATCTCAGATAACTGCGAGTCCCTGTACAATTTGCGAAGTAGACTTTAAGTGAATGCACGGCAGGAGTTTGCAGGGACTTGTTTCGCCAGTAATTTCGCCACCGCGGTCAACATCAGACCCCTGGTACTCCGTAAGGACTTGCTTAGATTTGAAGTTAGGTGATATGTGTAGTACATTGTAGTCAAAACCTATTGCTAGTCACTAGCAGAGGGACACTAGTAGCTAGTGTCTCTTTTTCAGTAGGGCGAACCTTTCAAAGATGTGTTTCGTGTCACAGAGATGTTCGTAGCTAAAATATAATGAGGAATACATAGGTTTCAGATTTCACTGTCTCTAGTGTTCTTATTTATTAGAATTTAACATATGGTGCATTTTCTTTTCCACATTCACGTCACATTATGCTCATGTAGTGATCATCAAAAATTCAGGACAATGGAGACTTTGAATAATGATATATTACATGATAGTGACATCTTTGAATAAAAATTAATCTCAATGTAAATCAAACAAATATACAATATGTTAAATAGTCCTCAATATAGAGATAGTAAATGGAAATGGTCTGTCACAACGCCCGTCCTTGCAATATTGCCCGTTTGCAAACCTTTCATCAAATCAGATACTACATGTGTGTAAGGAAAGCATAGTTTATTGTGGTGAGCTCCTTTGTGTGCGCAAAGAGTGTTTCTTGTGCACCAGGTCTTGACTACCATGACTCAATTACCTGCTCCTGCCAACAAGTGTCTTGAAAAGTACTTTGACTTATCGGTGCTCAACAAGACAGACCCTAAACATTCCCCCTCAATAAGCCACGAATGCAATATGATCAAGAAGGATATCACGGCGCGAATTCATGAATCGATTTTGCGATTAAATGTGGAATTTGTGTATAACTGTTTCAGCATTTTGCTGGTTCTGCTTTTCTGTCATGAAGTCTGTTGATCTTAGATCTCTTCAAGACTCAATGCCACCTCTATTGAAAATGTACAGACTGCTACACACCGTTAAACTGGGAGTATACTTGTGAGGCCATCACTTCTGGTCATAATCGTTATAGTTCAGCTTCTACAGCCTTAACCTGGATATCATTCAGAAGCAGAGACCAAAGCTTAGGTCCATTATTTAGTCATCGAAGATATCAGCTTTGTTAACCAGCTGAGACACAATTTACAATTTCGTTATCATCCTTAGTCGTGAGAGCGCAGCGAGTGAGAAGAAATATGTGGGCATTAATTACTGTCACGAGGTTGCATTTGGAGAATGTAGACTGTCAGTCAATTCAGACGAAATAGATCAAAGTCACACATCTCGACGCACTGAATAGATTGCCTTCCTTCGAAAGGTCAGCTGAAAGTGTACAGGACGTTTAAAGGCAATCATATGCAGGACGGATGGGGAGATTGCAGTTGTGATTTCAATCGTGACATTATCGGCGTTTCTCAACTTCGTTCGTTGTGATCGAGTGGTCGGTTCTACAATCTTTCCTGCTGAATTGTGTTCGTCATCAAGAAGCCTACTTGAAGTCATCGGCAGTCACAAACTACATACCTCAAAACTCCCCCTGATAAGGCGAATAAGCGAAGATGGTCTACCCGTTCTAATGGACCACAAACGAATCTGGAATCTTGAATCTCAATGGCATTTGACTAAAAAGTTAATTACTCGACGTTCGGGGAAATTGTCGCAAGCTTAGTTTGCTGGCTGTCTCACACAACATGCTTACTCTGAAGATACATAGGAAGCTTTGGGAACAGGCTAAGCTGCAGCTGTTGTTGCCTGATGATGGAGATCTCTTCCAAGCCAGTCTCACTAGAAAATTTCTCCAATCTCAGGGAGATTTCGGTCTCATTTAACAATCTTACTGTCAGTATACCGGAAGAAGCCAGAAAGCCTTATTGTGGATTCACGATTTCCATAACACCCTCACATGCGCATTGTTACCTTCTCTGTACAACTGCAGTAACCTGCGGGTAATGCATTTGGCAAGGAACTATCATTACAGAAAAAATTATAAGAATGTAATCTCTGGAACTCATTTACGTCCTCGAGAATGTTTCCAAGAGATCGATACCTGTGTCTGTGACCATCTGTACCAACCTCGTTGTTCAGCATGTCGCATTCAACAACCTGACCGGGAGGTTTCTGCAACAGCAAGGGGTAGGTTCAATAACTGTTTCCGTGGGACGTATGCCGGAGCTGCATACACTGAATGATGCATTCTACGAGCTTTCTGGGAAGATACCTTCAGAGGTGGGGCAGACTGTTCAATCTGAGCTGTACCTCCGGGAGAACTCCAAACCGTGGGAGTTGAACGGGATAAATTTCTACAATATGATGTGAATCAGTTGCCCCTATAGTTCATCGACTCTCTAAGATCATTAGATAGAATGGTCACAACGGTTTCGTTCGAAGTGTCGAAATGGTTATATAATATTTTATTTAGAACATGTAATAATGAAAAATTGTATTTGTATATATAATGAATGGTGATGAACATGCCTCTAGATTAGTTAAGTGACTAATCGTAAGTAATTTACAGGCAGATCTCTAATCATGTTACTCATCACCACTAACGGAAGTTTACAAACAATAATAGAGAAATGTTTTATAGTCTCATTGTGTACAAAATGTTCTATTGTTTAATCAAGTGATAACTAGAACTAAGCCATAGCAGAAGACATGTCCTAAAGAAACTACATACATAAAACCTATCATTCTATCCAACTCATTGATGCAAAATTTGCAAAGTTGCACGCTATCTTGAAAACTTATCAAAATTAATCACTTTGATATAGCCATAGTCTTGTAAAATAATATGTGATGTCAATATGCTTATTTCTACTATACATCATAAGATTTTCAGCAAGGTGAAGAGCATTCTAACTATAACAACAAAGATTGACTTCTTGCTATGGTAATCTCTTTAAGAAATTAGGTTGTTCAACCAAATTGTTTCCTTTGTTGCTTCAACATATTCAATTTCCATGGATTACAAAGAGATACAATTTTGAAGAGTAAATTTGCAACTAATGCAGCCTTATGTTTTACTCTTGTCCAAATCTCCCCATGATCAACATACACATACCCCAAGAGTGACTTGGCATTCATTGCTTCGGCATCAAAGAATAAATCATGTCTTGAAGAATACTTATGATACATAAGTATTCACTTCACTCCCAATGCATCTTATCTAGATTTAACATGCACTTGCTCAAAAATTTGTATGAAGTCATCAAAATTAAAGACTCATAAACACTGAAAAAGTCATTTTGTCTATTAAACAAGTCATCAATTCTACTTTCATGTTTGCACCAGCATGAGTGGACTACAAATAAGATCTTTAGAACAATTTTCCACATTCTAAAATATTTTTTACATGTAATTTTTAAAAATTTATTACTTTGTAAATTTTTATTTTTTTGGGGTATTTTCATGGCTTTGTAGAATTATTTTATGCTGATTTGAAAATCAATGAGAATTTTTATAATATGCGAGAATTGTTTCAGCTCATCACACATACTAAAATCTGGCGAATATATTTTACAATCTACAAAAATATTTGAAATTTATTTTATTATGTTATCACAAGAAATAATTAATTTTACTCAAATTCTACATATTAAACTATTACAATTATCTTCATTCTTACTTTTATGGGTTAAGGATTTTAATTTTATTAAATTATGTGTAATTTGTTAAAAAATATATATAGTGAGAGTTTGATAACAATGTATTTCTGGATTATTATGTTTTATATCAAGTTTCTAATTGCTTATTCGTCGCACATGTATCACCAACTTAAGAAGGTGAGTAGTAGAATTATGGCGGCCAAATGTTCCGCCAAACCCGTCAGGCTAGAGAGTCAGTTAGAAGCCCAACAGGTTAGCGAGACTTGCGCCAGAAAAGGCGCTCGGGCGTAGATCAGTCAAGACCTTTTCGAGGCAAGAGGCCGAGCTGCAGTGAGGCGCTAATCAATCCAGAGCGAGCGAGTCCTCGTCGTCCACAGGCCCTCTTGCGACCCAACGCAAAAACAGTCAAGACCTTTCCCGAGCAATCAATGTTCGAACCTGGGCGAAACAACAGCTTCCCAAGTGGAGACCCCTTTGTTTCTCCGGTGAGAAGGCTTGGGCTCAACTACCTTGAAGTATTTTTCGTGTACTCGTAGCCAATTGGCATGTTTGTACAATTTCTTGCGTCAAGTTTTACCCGTTTCTGGTTTACATACTTTGCATGAGACCCAAGTTACTTCGAACGATTCGATACTATAACTGAGCTTTTGAAAATGACATATACGGAGTCACATTCCATAACTACCAAACTTTATTTTGACCGTATTCTTCATTCTATCCAAGCCGAGTCAACAGCACGGCAGTGATGATTCGGTAACAGTAAAGATATGCATAGCGACATGTGCGGGGATACTCCAGAAGTATCTTCTAGACAATTGTACTTTGCGAAGAAAGAGTTGCTGGTATATCCATTACAATTTAGAAACGGACTCATGTGGAGATTAAACTCTAGAGCTTAGTGAGATGCCCGGTTTCAGCATAAGTGAGTCTCACATGAAGCTTTTTTTTTTATGTACAGCGTGAGCTATCAATGCTCGATATACAGACGAAGAGGATCACGACGTGGCTCAAAAATCATTCGATTTTAATTCACCCGTCAGAGAGACGCCCAAGCTTTCACTGCATTCCATACTGCTTCTCCAGCCGTCTCAACAGCCCAAGCATCTGTCTTCTCCACCGCTATCTCCCACACACCCAGGGGAAGCTGCCATCGAAGGCCTGCCGTCTAAAAAGCTTACTCTTGCTTGCTTGCTTGGCTTGCTCTCCTCTGAATCTTGAGTCAGCTCACTGTCACTCTGTGACCGGAAGAGTACACGGCGCGCAATACCCGGACTCCAGACAGCTTGCCCAATGAGCAATACAATGATGTAAGCGAATCGACGACCGCCCGCACATATTGACTAGATCTTGACTTCCGACTGGGAAAAGCGAAATCTGGAAGAACACCACTCCTTGTCGACAACCGACTGGGAAAAACGAAACCTAGAGGAGCAGAACCCTTTCTCAACAACTTCGAATTTCGAAGTTCGAAATTAGATTCTTCCACTTCAACAGCTACAAAACTGGTCCACTTCCCGACCACTTCGAAGGTCAAGCCTACTCTCACGCCCTCTCTCTCGACAACATCCACAAACTTCCCCGGCTCTGATTGCGGATCCACTCCGAACTCGCCCGAATGAAGGTACCTGCCCCCTTCATCCAGTTCCTGCAAAAGCTTCTTCGCTGCCAATTGATGGACCGTGGTGCCCAAGCCCACATCTTTGACAGCGACCTGTTGCTCTAGTCGGATGCCCGATTTGGTGGTGCTATACACGGTGATCACTGCCGGAGTTGGCTCTGATCCCGACAGAAGGACGTAGACAGTGGTCCGGTTGAATGGGTAGAGCGGTGGAATGCGGTGGGGAGTCTGTATCCTGGTCGGCACTGCGAGGGCTGGAAGATGGGCGAACACGTCCTTCGAAGTGGGCTGCATTATTTCCGCGTCTGCAGAAGCTGATTCATCGTACAGGGAAATGACAGTGGGCTGCAGTTGGGCTTCATCAGCCTTCGGAGCTGGTGCAGAGCTTTCTTCGCGCTCGACAATCTCGAATGCGTCTCCATCGTGCTCGGATTTGGTGGTCGTCAACGCAGTTCGCAGCTGCGGCATCTGATCTTCCATACTGCCGCTTCTGTCAGCTTTGAAAACACTCTCAGGTCTGATCCGTGGCATGTAGAACTTGGGGATCAGAGAGAGCAGGACCGCCCTTTGATTGTTGCCGAGTGTTGGATGAGTCTCCTACAATGACCTGGTCCTGGACTGTGCAAGTGAAGGCCACGACCGCGGCCCCCTCGTACAGCGGAAATGTGTACACAGCTTCATCCAGAGCTTCTTTCTCCGCATTCACGAACGTCTGCTTCAAGGTAAGGCGTGAACAAGTCTGGCAGATGACCGCTTCTGCAGTCACAGCAATGCTTGGCACCCACTGCAAAGATCCATTTACATGTTGATAAGTGATACCGCATACCCTCCACATATTTATGGTAGTTGGATCCTTTTTTTCTGCAAATCGAAACACTCAGTCTTATAGCATCAAGTAACAAAGCGACCGTCCTAAGAAGAAGAAAGAGGGATGTCCTGTTAAAATCGCAAGGAAAAGATCAAATATTCTGGATCGAGGTAGTAACGGATTGGCAGGCTTTTCCTGTGTACGTGATCCCAGTGTACTTGGATCGAACTTGGGCACGATCAAATTCATAATTGCAAATATCCGCGTATCACTCTGCAATTTTTCGCAAATTTTTCAAGTTCATATCAAAAAGTGCTTCTTTTGGCTTCCCTATTTTTCAATTGCATCTATTACAAATATGAAATCTTACACTTGTAATAATCCAACAACACTTGTGCTTACTCCATTAATAAGATTTTATTGTACAATTATACAAGGTATGGTTTGGGAGTGCTATATAATACAGTGGTATAATACTGCAATTATATATACACACGTTGTCCCATCATGGGACAAATGATTCACTCTAGAGTGTAGTTCACATAATACAGAAAGATTCGGATGACCTCAGCCATCTTGATCATGAGAAATTGACATCAACAGAAAGGGCTATGTGACATGAATGTAAGGCTTTCAAAGTTATGACAATTATCGGTTCTTCTGTGTTAAATGTTCGTAGAAATTAATGCGATCCCTTCACAGGATTTCTTTCATTCTGAACAAATAATCCGGTTTCTCTTCTGAACCCTCTTTCTACACCCGTCCTCTGCTCTCGCGTAGGAATGGATTGCCATGAGTTTCCCGTCGATCGCATGCCTTTTTTCAAAAGAGTGTCTCTGTCTAACCAAATCCACGGACATGTTTGTTCACGCCAGTCGAGAACTTCCAAACCATCTCGACAGGAGCGGCAGCAGCGTGATTGATTGAGCTAAATGCCTGCTCCTCGAGGCATTTAGCTCTGCGTCGGCGGAAACATATTTTCCGATAGATTCGCAGGAGATGGCCCAGTATGGCCCGTCCATCGTGTTGCTCCGCATGCAGGCAGGAAGATGTGGAGTGGAGCCTTCTTCGCCTTCTGAATTTCCCTTCTAAGCTCGGTCCACCCGTGCAATTACCTCGAGCGCCTAGCTATGAGGAGCATCTGATGACCGCCAATTTCATTTACCCAATTATCCAAGACACCCTCGATTCTCCTTCGTCTGCTCTCGCATAGAAATGGATTGCCATGACTCTCCAGTGATCGCATGCCTTGTTTCAAAAGAGTGTCTCTGTCTAACCAAATCCACTGACATGTTCCTTCACGCCCGTCGAGAACTTCCAGACCATCTCGACAGAAGCGGCAGCAGTGTGATTGATTGAGCTAAATGCCTGCTGCTCGAGGCATCTAGCTCAATTTAGTTCATTTAGCTCTGCGTCGGCGGAAACTTATTCTCCGATATATTCGCAGGAGAATGGCCCAGGACTGGATCATGTCCCGTCCATCGTGTTGCAACACATGCAGGCAGGAAGATGTGGAATGGAGCCTTCTTCGCCTTCTGGATTTCATTTCTGCGCTCGGTCCACCCGTGAACTTGCAATTGCCTCGAGCGGCTAACTATGAGGATCATCTCAGGACCGCCAATTTCATCTACCCAATTATCCGATACACCCTCGACTCTCCTTTCGCTGCGCATAAGTGCTCGCGCAGTCAGCAGAGATTCTCTGTCATCGATGTTCTTCTTTCGAATCCCTTGAGCCGAGATCAGTGCCACTCGGTTCTTCTCGAACTCTCCCACGAAATCATAATCACCGGAGCAGAGCTGGAGACAGTTCCTCATTGCGTTCCAATTGCTTGTTTGTCCGGGCCTGAAGGTCTATGTCAGCTACGAACCTAGGCGAGATCTTGAGCTCGCGTCCTACAAATGTCCTTCCCACTGCAGGAAACGAAGTCAGTGAGTCTGATCGGTCGCACGCTTCCACAATTTTGAGCCTCGAAGCTTGCGCAGCGAGCACCGCGTGCGAGGTCCACGTACGGATGAGGTCCTACTCTTTACGTAGTCAAGGTCCAGTTCCGGATGAAGCCGTCACAGATATGCAAAGCTCTCCCTCTCCTTCTTTCCACGGCGGCTCGCAAACTTATTTCTATGCAAACTTTATTCTATACATCGGAAGCTCGAGAAAGTGAGGCGACGACTGCCAGTCGAGTAACTGGAACTGCAATTGCTGTGTGCAACACTTCTGAACCCCTTTAAAAAGGATTGACGGCAGCACCACCATCGTTCTAAGCAGAGAGCTTGTGGTTCACTTGTGGTTTCCCTGGCCGCTGTGAACAAGAAAGAGATGGCATTCAAAGTACAAGTTGGACCTGGTCCTCTTGTCCCCATCGAATGCTGCAGGAAACTACTCGCTCGATTCTTCTAAGAGTGCAGTGATCGTTGCAGTAACTGTTTTATTGGGAGCAAGCACTTGCCTCTTATGAGTTGTGCTTCTCTAAGGGGCGGTGTCTCGAACCAACGGCCTAGAGCTACAGCACGATGTCAGCGTCAATAGTACGTTTGAAGGCAGGAAATAGGCATTCGAAAGGTCCTCGGCTTGCAGTGAAGATCAATGGAGATACTGCTGACATGGTTTAATCCAGTTTGAAACAGTTTTAGGACAGTGTATAATAATCGAGCCATAGGATGTCGTGAAGTTCCAATGACGTATCAAGTATGATGCACAGGAATTCCACTGAAGACCATCCTCTTTTAGTCTATAGACGAAACATTAGTGACTGCAAGGTACAATGAGAGTTCTGATATCACAGTTCTGACTCCGAGAATTTCTTACGGACAGAGAGAATCTGCTCCAGGTCTACAGCAGTGGATTATGCCCAGAGTGAAGTATAACGCTAGCAGCACGGCAACTGTTGAGCTTTCCGACACCTCCCATGCTAAATCAGGCTCTGACATCCAGGAATTCCCTTCATTTGCTTGATAGACCGGATGGCTTGACCTGTCATATATTCCCTCGTTATCTTTGATTTGTTCTACAGAATTACTGGAGCTGTGCCTGATTCGGGCAACCTGGATAACGTGATTGAAAGGTCAAAGATTCCTGGTTGAAGCAGGGAATCATCTCGTCGTGTCCACCACGTCAACTTGACACGAAATGTTCGTCTAAACAGGTGAATCATCTGCAGACTTTGTGTTCACATAATGGTTTAATGTTAGTATGAAGTCAAGCTGAATCAGTCCGCCCTTCCCTCTGAAGTCTCCTCCTCTTCGAATTTTAGCCGTGCATATAAGAGCCATGGGCACAAAGGTCACAGGCGGCAGGCGGTCACAGTGTAACCATCTCAATCTCGGGAAAATAAGTCCGATGTTCTGTCTCCACACCTTAAAAATCCCCTCCAGAAAATTTCCTTATTTATGAGTTTTCTCTCCTGAGCTTTTCTCGTTGTTTCCATCAACTCACTCGATCCAAGTTCGATCCAAGTACACAGGAAAAGCCGGCCGATCCGTTGCTACCTCGATCCAAAACCATTTCCTTAACTAACTAAACCTTCCGATTTTCTCAGGACATCCCTGTCTCTTCTTCTTAGAACTGTCGCTTTGTTACTTGAGGCTATTGAACAGATTGTTAGCTCGATCGCGTAAATCGGCAGAAAGACAACTGGAGAGTGATAAACGCACATACTGAGTGTTTCGATTTGCAGAAAAAAAGGATCCAACTGACCATAAATATGTGGGAGGTCTGCGGTATCGCTTATGAACATGCAGATGGATCTTTGCAGTGGGTGCCAAGGATTGCTGTGACTGCAGAAGCGGTCATCTGCCAGACTTGTTCACGCCTCACCTTGAAGCAGACGTTCGTGAATTCGGAGAAAGAAGCTCTGGATGAAGCTGTGTACACATTTCCGCTGTACGAGGGGGCCGCGGTCGTGGCCTTCACTTGTACAGTCCAAGACCAGGTCATTGTAGGCAAAATCGAGGACAAAAGCACCGCTCGACAGGTTTATGAGAGTGCGAAGGCACGAGGAAATCGAGCGGCGCTCTTGGTGCAGAACCGTCCTGACATCTGGACAACCGAGGTTTGCAAAATACCCGCCGGCGCGAAGGTGGAGGTGGAGATCACGCTCGTGGCCGAGCTCAAGCACGACAGCCAAGTCGATGGCATTCGGTTTGTACTGCCCACCAAAATCGCTCCCAGGTACGGACAGCCGCCGGAGGGGATGGGTGCCACCATCCTCCCGGATAGCAAAGGGTTTGAGCTGACGATTGCGGTGAAGATGACCTCTGCCATCACCAGCATGCAATCGCCATCGCACGCGATCGTTGTGGGATTGGGCAATCACTCTCCCAGCACAACCCCGTCCAAGGAAGAGCACGATGTCTGCAAAGGCTATGTCACTCTCTCTCAGAAGGATACAGCTCTGGACAAGGATTTCGTCCTGATCGTGTCGAGTGCCGATATCGGGCAGCCGCAAGCCATCGTGGAGACTCATCCAACACTCAGCAACAATCAAAGGGCGGTCCTGCTCTCTCTTATCCCCAAGTTCTACATGGCACGGATCAGACCTGAGATTGTCTTCATAGCTGACAGAAGCGCCAGTATGCGACAGCAGATACCGCAACTGCGGACTGCGTTGACGGTGTTCTTGAAGAGTCTTCCAGTAGGAGTGAAATTCAACATTTGCTCCTTCGGCAGTACGCACAGCTTCTTGTGGCCCAAGAGCGAGCTCTACAACCAGGTGAATATGGATATTGCACTAAAGCATGTGCAGACCTTTAAGGCAGACCTCGGGGGCACGGAAATGTTCCCTCCCATGGAAGACACTCTGAAGAGGAGATACAAAGATCTCCAGACGGAGATCATATTTTTGACGGACGGGTCCATCTCCCGGGCCGAACCTCTCTTAGATCTAGTGCAGAGGGAATGTGCTGGCGGTGATGTCAGAGTGTTTTCCCTCGGGATTGGCGACTCTGTATCACATGCTCTGGTCGAGGGGCTGGCCAGAGCTGGCAGAGGGTACGCGCAGATTGTCGGAAATAACGATAAGCTCGACGTGAAAGTGGTGCGGATGCTCAAGGCTGCGATCGGGCTGCACATCGATGGATACAAACTCTCGTTTTCTGCAGGTGATTGCGCGAGCCCTGCGACGACCACCAAATCCGAGCACGACGGAGACGAGGCGTTCGAGATGGTCGAGCGCGAAGAGAGCTCTGCACCAGCTCCGAAGGCTGATGAAGCCCAACTGCAGCCGACTGTCATTTCCCTGTACGACGAATCAGCTTCCGCAGACGCGGAAATAATGCAGCCCACTTCGACGGACGTGTTCGGCCATCTTCCAGCCCTCGCAGTGCCGACCAGGATACAGACTCCCCACCGCATTCCACCGCTCTACCCATTCAACCGGACCACTGTCTACGTCCTTCTCTCGGGATCAGAGCCAACTCCGGCAGTGATCACCGTGTATGGCACCACCAAATCGGGCATCCGACTAGAGCAACAGGTCGCTGTCAAAGATGTGGGCGTGGGCACCACGGTCCATCAATTGGCAGCGAAGAAGCTTTTGCAGGAACTGGAGGAAGGGGGCAGCTACCTTCATTCGGGCGAGTTCGGAGTGGATCCGCAATCAGAGCCGGGGAGGTTTGTGGACGTTGTCGAGAGAGAGGGCGTGAGAGTAGGCTTGACCTTCGGAGTGGCCGGGAAGTGGACCAGTTTTGTAGCTGTTGAAGTGAAGGAACCTCAATTCGAACCTCAACAGTTTGAGTCGTTTTGCTCCACTTCATTTCAAAAGGTGTCGAGAGCTCCTCGCTGTCGGATGCCAATATCTAGTCAATACGAGCGGGCGGACTGTTCGAATTGTTCGCTCCTCGAGCGGGCGGACGTCAATTCGCTTCTATCATCACTTTCGGCATCACTTTCTTGTGATGCCGAATTGGCAATGGTCAAGGACGATTCGCTTAGATCAGAACTTTCGGCATTGGTCAAGCCCGCTAGTGCTAGATCGCGTTGGCTTCGATCATCATATTCGTCATATTCGATGGTCGCTAGTGTTGGATCGGATCGGGCTGTCTCTTTTGGGTGCCGGAACTCTTCCGGGTCACAGAGTGACAGTGAGCGGACTCAAGATTCAAAGGAGAGCAAGCCTTATCAGCTTTTGAGACTGCAGGCCTTCGATGGCAGCTTCCCCTCGGGCTCAGGCGAGTGGGCCACTGAGATCATTAAGGCATTCGATGAGTGGGTTCAACAACAAAAGCAGGGCCTAGACAGTGCAGCACTCGTGGCTCTACCCAGAGAGATGCTGGAGAAGCTGGTGGCTAGTGCGGTGGCCGCTGCCATTTTCGAAGTGGAGCTGAACGATTCTCGAGGTGTGTGGGAGATGGCGGTGGAGAAGACAGATGCTTGGGGTGTTGAGACGGCTGGAGAAGCAGTATGGAATGCAGTGAAAGCTTGGGCGTCTCAGCAAGTCGTCATAGCGGGTAAATTGAAAACGAATGATTTTTGGGCCACGTGGTGATCCTCGTAGTCTGCTCTCCTTCGTCTGTATATCGAGCATTGATAACTCACGCTGTACATAAAAAAAAAGCTTTATGTGAGACCCACTTATGCTGAAACTGGGCATCTTACTAAGCTCTAGAGTTTAATCTCCACTTGATTCAGTTTCTAAGTTGTAATAGATGTTCCAGCAACTCTTTCTTCGCAAAGTACAATTGTTTGTAAGATACTTCTGGAGTATCCCCCGCACCTTTCGCTATGCATTTCTTTAGCCACTCGGTTCTTCTCGAACTCTCCCACGAAATCATAATCACCGGAGCAGAGCTGCAGAAAGTTCCTCATTGCGTTCCATTTGTATGTTTGTCCGGGCCTGAAGGTCAAATTCAGCTACAAACCTAGGCTACATCCAGTAATTGAGCTCGCGTCCTACAAATGTCCTTCCCACAGCAGGAAACGAAGTCAGTGAGTCTGATCGGTCGCACGCTTCCACAATTCTGAGCCTCGAAGCTTGCGAAGCGAGCACCGTGTGCACCGTGTGCACCGTGTGCGAGGTCTACGTACGATTCTACCTCTTTACGTACTCGAGGTCCAGTTCCGGATGAAGCCGTCACATATATGCAAACCTCTCCCTCTCCTTTTTTCCACAGAGTCTCGCAAACTTTATTATATACATCGGAAGCTCGAGAAAGTGTGTCGACGACTGACAGTCGAATAACTGGAACTGCATTTGCTGTGTGGAACACTTCTGATCCCCTTTATGGCAGCACCACCATCGCTCTAAGCAGATAGCTTGTAGTTCCTTCTGGCTTCCCTGGCCGCTGTGAAGAAGAAAGAGATGGCATTCAAAGTACAACTTGGACCTGTTCCTCTTGTCCCCATCGAATGCTGCACCCTCTGCGAATGCTGGAGGAACCTACTTCCTCGATTCTTCTAAGAGTGCAGTGATCGTTGCAGTAACTATTTTATTGGGAGCAAGCACTTGCCTCTTATGAGTTGTGCTTCTCTATGGGGGCGGTGTCTCGAACAGTGAGTCTAATGCCTAGAGCTACAGCACAAGTCAGCGTCAATTGTACGTTTGAAGGCAGGAAATAGGAATTCGAATGGTCCTCGGCTTGCAGTGAAGATCAATGGAGATACTGCTGACGTGGTTTAACCCAGTTTGAAGCAGTTTTAGGAAAGTGTATAAGAATCGAGCAACGACAATCATAGGATGTCGTGAAGTTCACAGTGTTTGATGCACAGGAATTCCACTGCAAACCATCCTCTTTTAGTCTATAGACTAAACATTATTGACTGCAATGTACGATGAGAGTTCTCGTTGGCCATGTTGGAATTAGATGATGTTCTCAAGTCCAGTAGAGCGTGCACATATCGGTAGAATTGGAATCCACCTTTCTTCTTGTTTCTGGAAAATACTTGTAGAATATTCTCAATTGAGTATTATGACTGATCTGCTCAGGTACGCATTTCTTTTTTGGTCTGAACACTCGTCGGTCTAGTCTCCTGTTCTCACGCTGCCTAGTCTAGTCTTCTGACTCCGAGAATTTCTTACGGATAGAGAGAATCTGTTCCAGGTCTGAAAGCAGTGGATTATGCCCAGAGTGAAGTATAACGCTAACAGCACGGCAACTATTGAGCTTTCCGACACCTCCCATGCTAAATCAAGCTCTGACATCAAGGAATTCCGTTCATTTGCTGGATAGACCGGATGGCTTGACCTGTACTATATTCCCTCGTTATCTTTAATATGTTCTACAGAAATACTAGAGCTGTGCCTGTTTCCACCTGATTCTGGCGACCTGGATAATGGGATTGAAAGATCCTGGTTGAAGCAAGGAATCATCTCGTCGTGTCCAACACGTCAACTTGACACAAAATGTTAGCCTAAACAGGTGAATCATCCGCAGAATTTTTGCTCACATAATGGTTTAATGTTCATATGAAGTGAACTTGAAAAACTCCGCCCTCCCCTGTGAGGTCTCCTCTTCTTCGAATTTTAGCCTTGCATATAAGAGCCATGGGCAGAAAGCCCGAGCGGTCTCAGTCTAACCATCTCAATCTCGAAAAAGAACTCTGAGTGTGATACAATACATTTGGTATTCTATTATATGGTACGATATTATACTATGTTGTACGCGAAGAATCCAATTATACAGACCCATAATCCGGAAGCCCTTATTTATCTCTCAGTTGAGATTAATTATCCCCCACGTTACTATACCGTGATTGGTCTATACCATGCAAGGACAAGACCGAAGTAAATAGAATATACTATTCGTGTGGGTACGGAAAGTGGAGAACTAATGCACAACGCGGGAGCATTAAAATACGGTGGTGGATAATTTGTCTAATCTGAAGAATAACTAACACTTCCCCATAATACTATACTCTTTCAATCATCTGAAAGATCATGTACTGTAAGTATCCATTTGGCAGTCACAGAAACCAATCCATCGATCTTATGTGATCATGCTTGTCTTTTGGTGTTCTTACCATGTCATCTAAATGGCGAGACGTCCAGCCCATGTACATTGCCTGCTCTACTTATTTGTTCCAAGTATTTTTTAGCGTGATTTATCAGTATTTAATTTCTATGGTTCCTATTTCTTTTTCACGCCGTGAATCCTGAAAAGTCTTTCCAGAGCATAGGAGAGATCACGAGGCAGTTGTGTAGAGCCGTGGGCGTGCTAATACTATTTGAGAAAGTCTCACTAGAATCTATGAAATATTCGCATTCATTGATGGTTTCTGCACTCTTCTTTATTACTACATGGCTCCTTTTACAAAGCTGTTGTGTTCCATGGTTCATTTATCTTAAATTCTCTATTTGAGATATTCTCTTCATTAGCGTTTGTCAATCATGGAGTCAATAATGTAGTAGCATACTTTAGGGTTTTAACCATAAAAAAGTAATTACTACGAATGTAGCCAAATTTCACAAACATGCAGCTGTCTTTCGTAAGCATGGCCATAATAGCCCAATAATACTAGCCATTTATTGTAAACCTCCTTCTATATTCAAATGCCGAGGAGAATACCAATGGGACGACTAATAGTAGCTAGTGCTCTTGGCACTAGTCACGGATGACTTTGGGGTATTTTCTCTTGTTCGTGGTTTTAGATTGTATTGTGTTTTTCAACGTTTCGATCCTTTTGATTACCGGGCTTGGTCATTTACCATAGAGTTATTACATTATGGTAGGTTACCATCCCCGTCAGACAAGGGAGCCCCGTTAACACAATCAAAGGCGGACTGTAGGTTGCCGGACGTGGTCTTGAGAGGAAAGTGGTCGTAATCGTAGTTGCAAACGTGGTTGCAATTGTAGTCGAGTATCTAATGTAGTTGGCCGGTAAACAGGGAAACGCAGTCAACGGTCAATCGACGGTGATGGTTGGAACAACGGTGAAAGAATCATCAGAGTATAGTCAAATTGGATATTGTTGGAAAGCTTTCGACTCAAATAGTGCATCTGGACATTTTTCAGTAGTTGAATAATGATTCAGAAGGAGAAAAATCGACTCGGAAGGCAGTCACAAACAATGTAGTTGCGGACGACAGACGATGAGTTGTAGACGCAGTAAGTCGCGAGCGATGTGAGTTGCGGGTGCAGTAAGTCGCGGATGACGGTGAGTTGCGGGCATAGTAATATGTGGATGCGATAAATTGCGGACGACCATGAGTCGTGGACACAATAAGTATAAACGGACGCAAGAAATTAAAGCGTGTGCACAGTCAATCACGGGTGACGGTAACGGTCAATTAGGGTGAAAGTGAGGGCTAGTCGCGGGCACAATTAGTCGTGGACAACAGTGAGAGATAGTCACACATGACAATTAGTCGCGGGCGCAATCAATCGCGGGCAACGGTGAGAGTTAGTCACAAGTGACAACAAGTCGCGGACACAGTCAATCGCAAACGATAGTGAGGAGGCCGCAATTAGTCACGGTCACAATTAATCGGAGCAAGAAAAAGGTATATCGGTGTTTTTGTTGGACGCAGCACTCCTTCACTAAGGATGAACCACGTTACATTTGTTTCTTATGATTGGTTGATGATTCTTGCATTTTACGGTAACATTAGAACCCTTTTTGAAAACAATTGTAAATATTTCATACTATATTGTAATCATGACTTTTTAAGCAATTAAATGAGTAAATTAATTTTACTTAAATGTTTGTTGTCTTGAATGATGCTTATTTAGCAAAATGTTATCATATGGTTTTAACAATTACATGAAGTTTTATAAATTTGCAAATTTCAACAGAAAAGATAGAGGATAAAAAATAAAAAATTTCATTGATGATTTTTTTGGTCATAATCAATAATCTTGAAAATATTAATCACTATATAAGTAATGAAAAATTAAATTTCAAATTTATTTTTTTCATATCAATTAATTTCAGTTGTTTCATCATGGATCAATAAATTTTGAAAGCCAATGAATCGTAAATATTTTTTTGATCTATGATTTACAATTAAAGATGGTGATACAATCCACACCAAACTAGTACTTTAACTGAAATTTGTTAATCATCATATTCTTAGAATGACAAAAAAATTCTGAGTGTAAAACTAGAGATCACACTAAGTAAGCTAGCAAGCCAACAATACGAAAGACACAAGGGACAGAAAGTACACAAGTATAACGTGATTCATCTTTAAGGTCTACGTCCACAAAGGAATACTCTTAAGATACTTTACTACTTCAAATGAAAACATGACTTCATCCGCAAAAGCATTAGGGTATATATATCCAAGATAGTTTACCCATTTCAGCTATTTATAGCTACATAGCTACACATGAGGTTTACTCCTTAACCAAAGTTAACCTCAACAATCTTCCTCTTAACTCGCGTTAAGAAGTTTCAATAACCTCTCTAACCTATATTATTACTAAGCCAAAAGTTCAAGACAGAAACCTAACACAAAGTTTTCCTTTAAATGAGATTAACTAGAACTAAGCCGTAGCCATAACAAGATAGAACAATAATATACCGAGGTAACTCAACAATCTCACTTTAACTCATGTTAAGGAATTTCAGTCAACTCTCTAATCTATATTATCACTCTCATACCAAGATAGAGTAATGATATACAGAGGTAACTCAACAATCTCCCCTTAACTCATGTTAAAGGTTTTCAGTCATCTAGACAAAAACCTTCTACAAGGCCACTCTTTAAACGAAAGTTAACTAGAACTAAG